AACTTCAAGAAGTTGTACATGAAGAAAATGTTTAGGAGGTGTCATCAGGCAACTTCCATTGATCCTGAACTAACACTGAAACAGTTCTGGAAGACACAATTCAACGTCCTGGAGGCTGTAAAATTGATTGTGTCATCATGGCAAGAAGTCTCCAATAGAACCCTCAATTCTTCATGGAAAGCACTGTGGCCATCAGTAGTCCATGATTTTGAGGGATTTGAGGATGACACAGAGTTGGACCAGGAGATTGTGTCCATTGGTCAGTCATTGGGTCTTGAAGTGGAGGAGAAAGATGTGGAAGAGCTTGTGATGTCTCATGAGGAGGAACTTACTCCTAATGACTTGAAGGAACTGGATGAGATGTTACGGGTAGAGGCTGACAGTGGTGAGGAGGAAATTGAAAGTGATGACCATATGTCAGCTAAACAGTTGAAAGATGTGATTTACCACTGGGAGAAGTTCAGGGAACTGGCTTCAAAGCACCCAGAAGTGGAAAAAACTGAACTAGCTTTGTGTCATGTTGAGGACTCAGTGGTCTCCTTCTTTAAACATAAGTTAATGGTGAGGAGGACAGATGCCCCACAGACCACAATTGACACTTTCTTCAGTAAAAGGCAGAGGGAACAAGATGCTAGCCCTCAGCCTTCCACTTCAAGAAGGAGAGAGGATGTTCATGGTGGAGAATCTGTCAGTCCAGAGGTTCCTGACATTTTCATGGAAGGTGACTCACCTTCCAAGAAGCAGTAAAATGCTTCTCCTCCACTTCCTTCTCTTCTCCCTTCTCCTCCTGCACCTCCCACTTCAAATGCACATCATCACCATCATCCAGGAGCCTTCTACATACACACCTCAAAGTAAGTAAATTTTTCCGCTATTTTTGTTGAAGTTAGGAAATTTTCGGTGAGCTGGAACCAATTACCCAAAAACCCATTGAAACAATGGTTTCGGTTAACGAACGTTTCGGTTAACGAACGACCTTCTGGAACGGATTGAGTTCGTTAACCGAGGGGCCACTGTATATGTATATGTATATATATATGTATATGTATATGTATATATATATGTATATGTATATATATATATATATATATATATATATATATATATATATATATATATATATATATATATATATATATATATATATATATATATATATATATTTATATTATATATATATATATATAAATATATATATATATTTATATATATATATATATTTTTTTTTATATATATTTTTATATATATATTTATATATATATCTATATATATATTTTTATATATATATTTTTATATATATATTTATATCTATATTTATATCAATATATATATCTATATATATATCTATCAATATCTATATATATATATATATATATATATATATATATATATATATATATATATATATATATATATATATATATATATATATATATATATATATATATATATATATATATATATATATATATATATATATATATATATATATATATATATACTTGTCTATAACCCCCCTTCGTATATAGGTCGACCCCGATTTTTTGACCAAGAAATTGTTAATTTATGATATTCCTCGTTTATAGGTCGACCCAAGTTTTTGAGGGTAAAGGAACAACAAAACCTTCAGAGAAACACTACATCCTATAAACTTGTTTACCATTTATTATTACGACACTTTACACTGAAACGCGGGTAGTTTCAACAAAAATATTGTATATTTATTCAAGTCAATTAGGAGGGAATATTATTGTAATACAATAGTTTTTTAACTGAAAACCATTCGAAAAGCGATTACGGTAACATCTTTTGAACGAAAGAAAGGGAAAGTCATTGTTTTCGTCACGATTTTATCCTACTTTCCACTGTAATACGTACGTCATTTCAGCAAAAAATATTACATTTCCGTGAATGTATTGTATCAAGCACAGCATGAATAGAATATCACTAATATAACAGTATTTTAACCGAAAACTAATAAAAAAACGATTAACATATCTTGAACATCGGAAGGTTTGGTAAAGTCTTTTGTTTTCATGTAGTTTATCCTAATTTACATTGAAATACATCACGTTTCAGCAAAACTACTATTTATTTCTGAGAATATGGAAATGTAATATTTTTGCTGAAATGACGTACGTATTACAGTGGGGTATGCTATAACGAATCTAATTGGTTCTAGAACCTTGTTCGTTATAGCATTCGTTCGTTATAGGTTTAATCCGTTCCAGGCCCCCAAATACAACCACTTAACACTGAAAAATATAATATAAAATTGTAAAAATTGTAAAAAAGTGCATAAATATGCATCTAAACCCCTGAAATAAAGAGTATCATTAATGCTTGTAATAAAAAAACAATAAATTAGTAAAAAAAAAAAAAAAAATTTTTTCTTAATAATGTTCGTTGTAGGAGTTTCGTTCGTTATAGCATTCTCAATTTTATAGGTAAAACCGTTCGTTATAGGAATATTCGTAGTAGGATCCGTTCGTTATAGCATACCCCACTTTATAGTGGAAAGTGGGATAAAATCGTGACAAAAACAATGACTTTCGCTTTCTTTCGTTGAAAAGATGTTACCGTAATCGCCTTTCGAATGGTTTTCAGTTAAAAACTGTTGTATTACAATAATATTCTATCCTAATTCACTTGTGATGTAACAGTTTTTTAACTGAAAACGATTTGAAAAACACGTGTACCGTCTAGCTGATACGGCAGAGCCCTGGTCGCCGAGGCTTTGTGTTTGCATCGGCCCTTCTTAAGCAGCTTTTAATTTTAGCGTACGTTGAAATTGTGTTTACCGGTATATTCTATTTTCTTGCTTCTTATTTTCCAGAAATATGACAAGTTTGTATATAATACAATGTTACGGTACTTTTAATTTACAAGTATTCATTTTTAAAAATATAGAAGACACCAAACAAATACCAGTACTACGGTTATTTGCGTGACTCTCCCGCCAAACAAGACCAAACAGCTGGTACTCTCTCCCTCAGCCCTACCAAAAATAGCCCAACCACATCTTTCTTAATTATTCTCTTCCAATTTCTCACTTTAACTGGTATTTTTTACTTCATATTGCTTACATCAGATAAACTACAGTAATTGAGGTTAGACACTGTTATAAATTTGATTGCCGGGTCCTGGCAGGTGCCGTTAGAACCACCTGACCCTACCAACAGTGTTGCAAGTCAGACAGCATTTTTTTTAATCATCCATGTGCACGAGAAAGGATGGATGGATGAAGGCGGCATACAAATATGGCTTAAAAAAGTCTGAACTTTAGACCAGGGGGACTGCGCAAAGAAAAAAGTCTTCTTGTGTGGGATATGTTTTGGTCACATCTTGTTGACAGTGTTACTGCTGGGATTAGGAAGGAAAACACTGATACAGCTGTGATTCCTGGTGGATTAACAAGTCTTGTCCAACCACTGGATGTTTCCTTAAACAAACCATTTAAAGATGCGGTAAGAGTGAAGTGGAACAACTGGATGATAGAAGGCGATAAGACATACACAAAGGGAGGCAACATCCAAGCTCCATCACTAGCAACATTATGTGAATGGATTGTAGAGGCCTGGGATGCAATCAGACCAGAAATTGTGGTGAAATCTTTTAAGAAATGTGGGATTTCTAATGCTCTTGATGGAACAGAAGACGACTTGTTGTGGGATTATGAGGCTAATGAGAGATTGAGGATGAAGATATTGATGATCCTATGGCTGATGATGGTGTTGATCCATATGACGATGCTGTTCAAGGAGAGGACTGGGAGGAGCTGTTTGGTGCTGAGGACAAGGAAAATGATTTTGATGGATTTTAATGAAAATATTCAGAAATATGGTATTGTAGTATTTATTCAAGTCAATTAGGATAGAATATTATTGTAATACAACAGTTTTTAACTGAAAACCATTCGAAAAGCGATTACGGCAAAATCTTTTGAACGACGAAAGAAAGTGAAAGTCATTGTTTTCGTCACAATTTTATCCCACTTTCCACTGTAATACGTACGTCTTTTCAGCAAAAATATTACATTTCCATATTTATTTCTGAGAATATATTCATTCAGGCACAGTTAAGGTAAAATATACTTGTGATGTAATATTTTAATGAAAATATTTATAAATAAGGTATCGTATTTTTCTTTTGTTTCAAATTTAATTAACAAAGATTGATGTTTCAAATTTAATTTAAAAAAATTTATGTATCCATAAATAAACTTTTAAAAATGAATACTTTATGTTTTACATACTCCTGTGCATACCATACCATACCATACCATGCATTTGGCTACTTTTGGCTTGCTATGATGACGCAAGAGATCTGCCCTGGCAACTGTACCGACACTCACAGTGGGTGGTGAGTTGGTGCGTCGTTTCCATTGTTTACTGGTAGTTACTGGTAAATATTTTTCAACCTAACGAAACTATTACCCGTATAGAGGTCGACCCCCAACTTTTTGCCAAAAAATTTGGTCTTAAGAACTCGTGCTATACACGGGTATATACGGTATATATATATATATATATATACACAGTGGTCCCTCAGTTAACGAGCAGAATCCATTCCAGCAGGTTGCTCGGTAACCGAAAAACTCGTTAACCGAAACCATTGTTTCAAAGGGTTTTTGTGCAATTGGTTCCAGCTCACCGAAAATTGCCTAAATTCAACAAAAAAGGTAGAAATGTACACTTACTTTGTGTATTTCATTTACGCGTTTTTCGTTTTACGCGGACCTCCACGGTTCAATTGACTGCGTAAATGCAGACTCCACTATATATATACACATATATATATATATATATATATATATATATATATATATATATATATATATATATATATATATATATATATATATATATATATATATATATATATATATATATATATATATATCTCGATAAAATCACACGGGAAAATGGAAACAACGGAGTACCTTAGCTTTCGTCTTTATTCAAGATATATATATATATATATATATATATACACACACAACTTGTACATTTTCAAACTGTCTGTTGCTCCTGTTTCCACAAGACCTACCTCTCTTCTCCACCCCCACCTTCAAACACCCTTGCATTTAGGTACAGTACCCTGTATTTTATATTCTTTTGGATATTAGAACCCTCAAAGAAGCATGATCGATAGATAATTTACCTTGTTAAAATACATGAATTCTTTCAGATTGTTCTGTGAGGACAGAGATGGTGTTGGTAAGTGTAAGAATGTTCCACCTGGTACTGTTGTGGATTCTGGGATCACACATCCAAGTGAGCGAGATTTCTATCTCTGCTCTCATCAAGTAAGTTCACCTTTATTCTGATATATTTATTTTAGAGTAGAAAAATAAACACTAGAATGTTGTATGCAGTGTTGTACGTTGACGCCGTTAATTTAACGCAGTCAATGGACGGCGGCAATTTTTTGTTAACTCTTCAGGGGTGAGTACAGACTGTACTCACCCCTGATGATGTGAATTACACGAAAGCGCTTGGGAACTTCGTGTTTTCTTCTTTCCTTGTGGTTATCAGCATATATATATATATATATATATATATATATATATATATATATATATATATATATATATATATATATATATATATATATATATATATATATATATATATATATATATATATATATGCTGATAAGTTATCAGCCCTACTGATAACCACAAGGAAAGAAGAAAACACGAAGTTCCCAAGCGCTTTCGTGTAATTCACATCTTCAGGGGTGAGTACAGACGAGAGAGAGAAATACAATTCAAGGTGTATATATACAGAGAAGGGTGAGACCAGGTCCACAATGGTCAGGTATTAGGTAATGACCCTACTAATCTTTAAATAGCACACAAAGGTTATCTTGATAAAATCACACGGGAAAATGGAAACAACGGAGCACCTTAGCTTTCGTCTTTATTCAAGACATCTTCAGAGGCAACTGGATTACATGGACAGAGAGAGGCTTAAATATACAGGGTGACCTTAAAAAGATGAGGTCAGGTCATAATGATGTCATCCACTAATCCCCACACCAACACACACGTAGAGGAGCTTAAGAGAAGGGGGGTGACGATGAATTAAAACACATTCGTTCCATTGCACAGAAACTCGGGTACCCTTCTGTGTTTGTTGATCGATGTTTTAAAAGGGCTAAATAATCCTTTCATTCCTCTCAAACCAGACAAGTTCCTACACTTAAGAATATTTTGACTGCCCTATCGTAATGAATTTGTCCCGTTAGTTCGGTTCCTCAAGCTTCTAAATATTAATGTTGTTTTCAAGTATGACTCAACCATTACCAATATGTTAATAAGGAATAGCCCAAGTTTGAATGTAAATGGAAGTGTTTATTGTATTCCATGTAGCAAATGTAATTGTAATTATGTAGGACAGACAGGAAAAACACTGCAGCTCAAAATCAAACAACATAAGTATAATATTAGAACAGCATCTGAAAGCAGTGCCTTGTTCGTTCATGTTAGGAATAATAATCACCCCATTGCTTGGGAAAAAAGCTTAGAAATATTTAAATCATCTTGTGTCACAGAAAGACTTCTGGTTGAAGCTAGTTTGATTAAGGAATTAAAATTAATAAACCTTAGTGATGGTCAGTTCAAAACTGATAATATGTTACATAAATTTATTTGTCAGTGGTCCAAGGTTAAAATGCTTTGAAAACCTTAGATCTAGGTGTATGATAGTTATTTTGTGGGTCCCTTATTTTTGACCTGACCTGACTAGTCACGTCACCCCCCTTCTCTTAAGCTCCTCTACGTGTGTGTTGGTGTGGGGATTAGTGGATGACATCATTATGACCTGACCTCATGTTTTTAAGGTCACCCTGTATATTTAAGCCTCTCTCTGTCCATGTAATCCAGTTGCCTCTGAAGATGTCTTGAATAAAGACGAAAGCTAAGGTGCTCCGTTGTTTCCATTTTCCCGTGTGATTTTATCAAGATTTATCTTATCCACGTTTTCATTGTGGATTTACATGAAATATATATATATATATATATATATATATATATATATATATATATATATATATATATATATATATATATATATATATATATATACAGTCAACCCTCACTTTACGCGGTTAATGTAACCCGCAGGGTCCCGCGTAAAGTGAATAACATAACATATGGGGTTAATTGAAATAGAGTCCGGGCCGACCCCCAAACTCCACTTTTTGACGACACACAACTATGTTGTAGTAAAAATTTTATCTTATCTTTATGATGGTATGAAAAAACAAATAATATAGAAGAGGTTAGGTTAGGATAAATAAAGGTTAACATAGGAAAAATAAAGGTTAGGTTAGGAAAACTAAAAGTTATGTGGAACACTTACGTTAGTAGAAGAGATGGGTCGGCATACGGGGATGGAGGCTGGTTCCGAGGAAGAGGGCAGATTACTGGCCCTCAGGTGAATCACCATTACTAGGTGAATCACCATCACTGTCACTTACAGTTGTCAGGGCTTCCCTGACAAATCCCTCAAAGTCATCTTCACTGTCACTATCACTGGCTTGGGCTGGCTGTGGTGGGTTGCGGGCGAAGAAACAGTGGCGTAGCTAGAGTGAGTGCCGCCCGGGGCGGCCCTTGAGTTTGCCGCCCCGTGCCCCCACAAAAAATACATATTGCACAGTGACTCACTCTTATATATATATATATATATATATATATATATATATATATATATATATATATATATATATATATATATATATATATATATATATATATATATATATATATATATATATTAAATAGTTTGTGTACCATTATAATATTACTGTACTTTCACATACTCAAATATAGTATGCTTTAAATACACACCAAACATACTTAAACTTTATAAGTTAATCCTCGTCGTGTCTGACCTAACACCTGACCCACACCACATGAGCTCACTGGCATACTTGTTTGAAGTTGTTTCCTTAATCCTCAACAGGTTACAGGTTGTGTGTGTGGCCGGGGGGGGGGGCGCATAGCAAGGGTGTAGCTCATGACGTGGCCGTGATGATGTGGGTCAGGTGTTAGGTCAGACACGACAAGGATTAACTTGCCGCCGATACAAAGGGATGGATTAACGTCTCCAGTAGCTGCAGATATGGGTGATGAGCAGACCCAAAAGTGCCACCCCCCAAAAGTGCCGCCCGGGGCGGACCGCCCCCCCCAGCTACGCTAGTGCGAAGAAATCTGTTATGCTTTGCTGACGGCTGGTGTTGATGTTGTCGTGATACACCTTGATGTAGGGCTCCATAGTCTGCAACAGCTGGGTAGTGAAGATTTCATACCTGTTTGCGTCAGGGTCGTCGGAAAGGAGGAGCTTGGCTTTCTCGATACACTCGATGGCACCCCTAACATTACTATGGGATAAGTGTTGTTCTTCTTGGGATGACGCACCACCTGCCTCTTCACTGACGTCGTCATCATCATCATCTACCATCTCCTCGTTAGTCACATCAGGATCTCTGATCATCTCCAGGATGTCGTCGTTGGTGGTCTCGGAGAAGCCTGGAACTGTAACAGTCTGCGCAGCTTCTCTGGCAAGGTCCACTGCTACTGCAACAATCTGAACCTCACCAGTCACAGATTGACTCCTCCTCTCACCTGGTATTCCATGCAACACATGTCTCCATGCGTGACGAATTGTAGCAATAGACAGCTGATCCCATGACTCCACCAAGAAGTCCACAGCTTTCTTGATGTTAAATACTCTCCAGAATTGTTTGAACAGTATTTTTTGCTGTGCCAACTGTTGATCCTCATCTTCTTCGCTCTTGCTATCGGTGGTGGTGTCACTCACTTTGCGCAACTCTTCCCTGGTGTTGGTGTAGTCGTTCAGGAGCTGGAATTTTTTCGTAGAGAATGCAGCTTTTACATTACAGATTAACTCTTGGTCCATGGGCTGTAATATAGACGGAGTGTTGGGAGGAAGGAAGACCACTTTTACGTTGGGGTGATGATCTAACAGTAGGGGCGAGTGTCCTGGTGCGTTGTCCAGCAGCAACACAATCTTGAATGGCACATTCTGTTGCTCACAGAATTTCTTTACATCGGGAACAAAATAGTCATCAAACCAGGAGAGGGACAGTGTAGAGAACATCCACGCCTTACGTGCGGTCAGCCAGTGGACATTTAGCTTGGTCATGTCCATGGTTTTGTAGGCGTGCGGCTTGCGTGCTGTGTGGATCACCGATAACTTGAGCTTACTGGTACCGGAGGCATTGGTGGTAAACAGGACGGTGATGCGCTCCTGCATCTTCCGGCCCCGAATCTTGCTGGCATTCTTTACAACGAAGGACTTGGAAGGTAGCTTTTTCCAGAAAAGACCAGATTCGTCCATGTTAAACACCTGGTCGTCGGTGTACTGTCCTTCCTCCATAATCTCACGTAAAAACGGAGGAAATTCCCTAGCCGCAGCACGGTCAGCACTCGCTTCTTCACCACCAATGTTTATATTGGTGATCTTGTTCCGGATCTTAAACCTCTGTAACCACCCAGAGGAAGCATTAAAGGGTATATAAAAGGAACAGTGTGAGCAGTTTTTTTCAACTTTTAATTGAATTAATTTATTATTTCCAGGGTATTCAAGGTACCAGCAAACCAACTCATTACCATATTCTGTGGGATGACAATGATATGACAATGGATGATATACAGATGCTAACCTACAGTTTATGCCATCTGTACTTTCGTTGTACAAGATCTGTCTCCCTTCCAAGCCCTGCGTACTATGCTCATTTGGCTGCTTTCAGGTAAATGTCTATGATTGTTTACATATATATATATCTCAGGAGAGTATTGAAATTTTCTTAGTTTTCAAGCCACTTATTGCTTAATACGGGGTGGAAGTAATCAAGGGTTAACACACACCGGACATTTATTTTCCTTTTTCTTGTGCCTTCCATTCATTCATGCAGACTGCTGCTTCCTGGATATCTATTCCTTTCATTTATATGTCCTTCACTCTATCTATCTGAATCATATAGTTTTTCCTTGACTCCAAGAGATCACCATAGTTGATCAATGCATGCAACTGGGGTAAGCATTACTAATATATTTTATGTTATTATTTTCTGTATAATGTATATCCATAATATAAATATATATAATGGAATGTGTGCTCATTTTTTACAGTAACATACATACAGTATGTATAACCACCAGCTTATGCAAGTTAAAATCTCTAAATATTTACCCTAAGCACATTTTATTAAGATATTTTTTAGAATAATTTATAAATTACCACAGGCATGGGTGTACTGTGGAGGGACTGTTTCACCCCTCCTTTCCCTTCACCTTTGTTAATGAAGGGGTTTTTGTCAGATCATCTTAATTTAACATGCCAAAGTTCCCTGTTCAAAAGGATGATTTCACGGTGTCCTGCCATAATGAAAAATTTCTGTTTCACGTGGTGATAATTGGATGATATATGTTAAGTACCATTTGTAAAGATATGGTAGAAACAGAAAGAAGGTTGTGTTGATCAACCAATTAAAAAAGAAAAGTTGTTAACAGGTGATATGCTGATTAGTGGTGTTGAATGCATTAAAAAATCAGTACAGTAGTTCAGTCAGGGAAAGGTGTTCCTATACCCCCTGTGATAACCCCAGTCAAGATGTTACAGTCAAAAGCATAACTC